AATTTCAAAATAGTGCTGGAAACGTCAACAGCGGTTTGAAAATCAGCAGACCAGCTGATCAACGCCTAACAGCTATACAAATCCCCACAAGTGTGACTACAGCCTCATTTCTGAAGGTAAATTGTTGATCGTATGGGCTATAGACCCTTTTTGTCCACTATCATCAGCAAATAATGTGCCCTCATGATAGTCAGAGGACTTTAGAAGCACTGGCAAAAGCATACATTTCTGTTTCTTCTGTAACGTCTGTAACATCTACACCTAAATGTGTTTGCACGTGTGGATTCATATGTTCGGTGTGGATCCCAGTGAAAAGTGATCTCTGCCTGCCTCTTAGCATACAGCACTAACACCAGCTCAGAGGAAGTATCTGTACAGCATTGCAGCTTCCTATAGCACTGAGCATGTGCGGCGCCTCGTCACCCAGCACTACATGAACGTGCAGTACAGGTGTATACGAGCAGGTGAGAGGAACCAAAACAAAATAAAATAAATACAATTCCGATGTAACTTCTTGTTGTGTGCTGTCTCTCTGTTTTTCTAAACCGTTTGTAAACTACTTTCACTGATAAGCATCTGACTTATCCTGTTACAATCCTTTACAGTGAGTCATTGAGCAACATAACGGCTTTCACACTGTGGTTTGTTTTGTATGTTTGTTTTGCCTTTGTGCCAAGTCACAGACTACAACGACAAAAGAGGCATACTTTATGAGGCTTCTGTGGCCTCACCTGAGAATGACAGAGAGGATCATCTATCAAAAACACAATCGGAAGTTTCTTCAGGGTCAAAAAACAAGAGCAAGATCAATGCAAAACATTCTAGAAAACCCTCCCAAAGAACAGGTGAGACGTGAGCTATCAAGTGATAGCTGAAGTTACAATATTTTAAATATCCTAAGGATCATCGCTTTATTTTATCCCACCTTATTTCCCTTTTTAATATGTCCTTCTAACACCCTTACGCATCTGAACTAGTCTGCACATGTAGATAATTATAGTTGTCACATATGGAGATTTTGAAAGCACTTAACAAGCAGCTCATTTCCATGTTTACTTTTCAGACTTGCAAAGAGTTAAAATGAAAACTTTTTGCAACAATATTTAGCTCATCTTTATATTTTTATAAAATGTAAAATATAAGAACCATCATTTCATGGTAATTTATACTGTAAAGTTCCCAATACATTATAGATAGGAACTCGAGAATCCCAAGCAAACAACTGGCAACAGTGTGGAGAAAAAAAAGAAAATTCCCCTTGGGTTGGAAAGTACCGACTAAGGAAAGCAAAGAGAGAAAAACACTGAGAAAGGAAAAACAACAAAAGAACAAACTATTAATTTAAAAAACATAAATAATATTATTTAATGATAAAGAATTCTCAATTCAATTCAGTTTTATTTATATGGTGCAAAATCACAACAGCAGTTGCATCAAAGTGCTTCATATTGTAAGGTTCAGATCTTACAATACAGAGAACTTAAGAAGACTTT